GATTAGCGTTTCTCATAGTTTTCTTTTATTCTAAACACATATTTCGACCTACAAATCACTCCATCATAATTTTGTTAAATTTTGATTAAATTTATAAACATGAACTATTTTAATATATTTTATCGCGTGTTATATTGTACGTGTCTTAGAGAAGTTTTGTTTTAATCAAAATATGTTCTTAGAGCTTAACTTTGAAAACAAACTTGTATTAAAGGGATTTTCATAATTATGAATATAAAGTTTATTGTGGAAAAACTGAGTTAAATTATTAAATATTTGCTAAATATTTTTTATATTCAAATAAAAAAGTTATTTTTTAGATCACTATAAGTAAATACGAATATGATGTCAAACGGACAAATTTTAAATAACGAAATCGATTAAAAAATTTGATAATTTGTTAAATTTTGGCATTTGATTGCTTTTGTTTGAATTATATTGATTTCGTTAGTTTGGAGTTTGACATTTAGATTGATATTTAACAACCTGGAAAATCTCAATTTAAATGAACATATTAAAAAAATATTGGATAAGTCTTCGATGATTTAATTCACAATTTCTCCATCATATTTAATTATGAATATCTTATTAATCTACATAATATTTTTTTTACAACTTTCAAGTTCTAAGAATATCTTTAATACTTTTATAATTAATTTTGCTTGCAATAAAAAACTTCTTCAATTATATACCACAGTTATAACATGTAAATTACATTTAAATTTGTTTTACAACTTTAACCGTGATAGAATTATTTAAAGACCGAATTCATCGTCAAAAAATTGTGGGAAATAATTCCTTTTTTTATTATAGTGTATTTAAAATCTTGAATCGATATGAATTAAATATTTTTTAATATCTGTGAAAAATTTAACTGAGCTTAACGATGGTTTACAGTAGAAAACTATGTGTTTTCTTGTTAAAAACAGGTCCTGTTAAAATTTTTGTGTTAAATATTTAACACATGCATGTATTAATTTAATATATTACTATTCTGTTAATGGAACTTAAATGTTAAATTATTAAAACAACTGAAAAAAATGTAAAAATAACTTAATGTGTATCTAATTTTAATTTTACACAATACATATGTTCGGTTTTATTAGTGACAAGATTTATCTGTTAAAATTCACAGAAAAAAATGTTGATTTTCTATTTTATAATATAAGTGGGGATGATAAAATCTCAAATTAACATATTTTTTGTTAATTTTTACATTAAAGGTATGTTAATTTTACACAAAATTTATTTTAAATTATTTGAAGCTTTGGATTTATTTTGCGTAATAAAATATTAACACAATATTTGCGTCTCCATTTGGGACATGTGATATCTGTTAGATTTAACAGAAATTTTTCAACCGTGTTAAAAAGCGTAATTAAGAGGAGTTCGACGTGTTAAAAGTCAAAGATGTATGCATGCAACGAAATTCCGTTTTTACTTTTTTTTTCCAACAACATAGGAGTAATTACGGTGGAAGGAAACAGCACATATTCAACTAGCAACGGGAATTCCTCGCGTTTGGAATAGTTCGCGCATTGCAGCGCGTGTCGAAGCGCGTAACGCGAGCGCTCTCTCGCTCTTCGGCGTTTCGCGCCGGAACAATATCAGGTGTATCCGAATGACTACGGGGTATTTCTGGAATTATGCTAATCGGCCATCGCAGCAGCAATGGCTTATCGGAGGCGGTGGCGGCTGATACGGCGCGTATTTCCTAACAGAGAAAGTACAATTTGCTACCCCGGCTTGTGTATCTAATCGAATCGATAATCACTTGCCTCGGCAAATCGATTCTACAACATCGTCGTTTGTTGATTTATACGCGGATGTAAGAATAGAGTTACTTAAAGAATTCAGGGAATTCAAAAAATTGCGAGAAATAATTCCTCTTTTTTATTATATTTTTTATTTCGCAACTATGCGATTTATTATTGTGTATTTAAAATCTTGAATCGATTTAAATTAAATAAATATTTTTTAATATGTGTGAAAAATTTAACTGAGCTTAACGATGGTTAAAAAGCGTAATTAAGAGGAGTTCGATGAGTTGAAAGTCAAAGATGTATCTAAATTTGTGTAAATTTGTGTACTTGCTCAAATTGAATTTTTTGTCCCCATTTTTTAATTTTTTTTCTTTATACGATCTATTATTCGCGATATAATTTAAGGCAGCATTCTATTTATAATATTATAAAACATTTTATGCATAGGTAACATATGTTAATATATTTTTATTTGTATGCATTTTACGTGTTTAATTTTGTTGCGAATTATGGGTCGTTTAAAGAAACCATCTTTATTTGAAATTATTTAATAATTATTTAATGCAGATAATAATAATTTCGCCAAAAACCCTTCTTTTCAGCTTTTAAATAAGAAATATTTGCTTACTATCTGTTTGAGATACAAAATAAAAGTTCTATTCCTATAAATCTATATAAACCTGATTTAAAATGTTCCTTTTATTTTTTTCTCAATTTTTAATCTATTTTTTTGACACTTTAAACAGTGTAAAAAAGATCTTTCTTTTGAAGCTATAATTACACCGAAAGTTTCTATTTTATCTCCAAATGAGAGACTATTCGATTTTATTGCCTATTTGAGAGATACAAAATTGGAGTTTTATATCCTACATAAATTAAACCAATTTAAATTCTTTAAAAGCCATAAACGGGGGAAGATTGAGATTGAGAATGAGAATATAAAATTTTGATTCTAGAAAATAATTACAAATTTTCTGAAATCCACAATTAACAGAACAGTAATATGTTAAATTAATACATGAATGTGTTAAATATTTAATAGAAAAAATTTAATGGGGACCGTTTTTGACAAGAAAACACATTTTTCTACTGTGTACAATTTTTGTCGCGTAATATTTTTCCATTTATTTCTCCTTCTCTCTCGCTAGATATAAAATTGTACGTTCGGTTTCAATCAAGTATCGTGTACATTATTATTTCATAACTGCTTGTTTCGTCGGCACTTTAGCGCAGTAATCCCGGAATGTGCGGGATAAACGATACTATCGCTGTTCGTAATACTGTTAGAGAGTCGTGAAAGAGCCTCTCGATAGTTAGCAGTCGAAATCTCTCGGTATGTTTAAATAAATTACAGAGCCGCACCACGCGCAGTTCTCTCGGAGGGCAATCGACTGCGCGATCTGTCATTGTGCGGACACGCGCGGCGAATATCCGGGTGTGCAGGTCGAAGCCGGGATAATGTTGGATAATGAGCGTTCGGCGCTGCCGCTGAGGCCAGAGATCGAATTGAAACCGCTGTAACCCAATTTTCCGCCGCGGACCTACATATATCTGTCTCCTCTCTCTGTCGTAGCGAATTGGCGCAATTAAACGCATCGGGCGAATCCCGCGAAGAATTTCATTGCCGGCCTCCAATTAGCATTTGCCGAGGGGAAATTGTATTCTCTCTTCCTGGTTCTCGGAAAAAAAAGAGAGACCAGGTTTGCGTAATTAGGGACGATTAAGGAAAAAATTTGTATATGCGAATAGCAAATGGATATACACAGGCAAATATATCAACGAAAAATTGTATTCTCATCTTAAAATATATTTTATATATTTAAAATATATTAAATATATAATTAATATATTTCATATATTAAATACGTAATTAATATATTTAATATATTAAATATGTAATTAATATATTTAATATATTTAAGATATATTAAACATATAATTAATATGTTTAATATATTTAAGATATATTAAATATGTAATTAATATATTTAATATATTTAAGATATATTAAATATATAATTATATCTATCTATTTAATATATTAAATTAATATATAAAATAATAAAAAAATAATAAATATTAATAGTATACTTATCTTCATAATATTCTCCACTCTCTTTAAAATAAGCCACTCCTCTTAATATAAGAGGAAAATTCTCTAAACAGATATTCTTAACATGCAAGAATATCTGCTTAATAGGATGTTTTTTATCAATGTTTCATTTAACATCATTAATCGTGATAACAAAAAGAGTCTTACAAATGGGCATTTATTATTTATTACATAGATATTAAATGTTAAACACATAATTGAATATTGTTGTATTGACATAGTTAAATACACATTTTTTATATTATATTATTCTTTTAATATTAATTGATAAATTTAAATAATTTAATTTTATTAATTTATTTTAAGTTTTATTTTAGATCTTATTATAATCTATTAAATATCTATTAAATATAATTTATTATATTTATTTATTGCGGAATTTTTCAATACCCAGATGCTCCGAATGACGTTTCGTTTAAGGCGAGCGATAAATCGCGTTCATTTCTCTTTTAGGCTTCCGCGTTTTATCGAAAAACATAAAGATGGGCCATTGTTAACGCATCACGTAACGAGATTTTCACGACGGCGATTTCGCGCGACGTTAATAAGGCGCGGGATGGAATTTGCGAAAGGATGCATTTTATTTTATGGGTTTATAAATGACGGTCGCTTAAACGCGCCGTCGTAAAGGTATCGTCCGACGATTAAACAATGTCGTTTCCGTAATACTTGTTTATGTAACGTGTGGGAGCCTTCACGCGTGCGGTAATAAAAGGCCCCGACGAGATGAGAAAAGCGAAGAAATGATATCCTACAGCTTTCTTTGTGCAAAATGCAACGCGTCTTCCGTATAGGTAATCATATAATTGTAAGACATACACGTGAAACGTCGCACAAGCGCTCGTTAAGTTCTCATTAGAACGTTATTTGTGCAATTATCTTTATTTACTTTTTATATATTTTTCATATATTTATGTATTATATAATTGAAAGATGATTATTTGATTTTTTGCAACACAATTACAAGAATATACTATTAAAGGAGATCCGCGATGTAATCCTGAATTATTAACGTAATAGGATGCTAATTTTAATCCTGCGAAAAGAGGAGATATTGCGATCAATCATTAAATTACACGTGTCAATAACTATTATTATTATTATTGAAACTGTTAATAGAAAGAGAAAAGCGACGATGTCCTCAAGCTCGGAAGGGTACCTTTCACTCGTGGATTAACCAGTCGTCGATCATGGTGAGTCAGTTTACATCATTCGATGTTTCATATCGTGTGTCCGTTTATGGCTAATTCTATAAATACAGAGTGATTCGAAAAAAGTGTGAACAATTTTAGAAGACGAGTTTGTCAAAAATTAAAGAGGTCCTTTCATATTACACGGTAGAAAAATTGGTGTTTTTTTTGTTAAAAACGGTCCCCGTTAAAATTTGTATGTTAAATATTTAACACATTTATGTGTTAATTTAACATATTATTGTTAATGGATTTTAAATATTAAAGTAATCTGTTATTTAAATTGATCTGTTAATTAAATGTTAATTTTCTATTTTATAATATAAGTAGGGATGATAAAATCTAAAATTAACATATTTTTTGTTAATTTTTACATTAAAAGTACAGTATTTTACACAAAATTTATTTTAAATTATGTGAAGTTTGCATTTATTTTGAGTTAAATATTAACACAATATTTGTGCCTCCATTTAACATATCCATATTATGTTAAATTAACACAAAAATTTCTGTGGACCTTTTGAGATGTGTGATATCTGTTAAATTTAACACAAATTTTTCAACTGTATAACATTCCTTTCTGAGAAGTTACATTATTCTAAAGGGAGAGACATAAAGTTTTTATTTTCTTTTCTCTTTAGAACAAGTTAGAAAAAATAAAATTTAGCAAATATTTTCTATTAGTAAAAAGAATACTTATTAAAATATTTTTTAATCCTTCTGTATCCTTTTTATGCGTATAAGAATGAAATAGCAACTTTTATTCAATTTTATATTAGAACTTTTTAATGAATATGATAATCTAAAAATATGCGTTAGAAAGCTTGAATCCTTTAAAGACTTGTTTTAATTTTAAAATCAATAGTTTGCAAGAAAAAAATTAAAATATATTATCATGCACAGCACGGTGCTAAATGGTTGCAAATTAAAATTACAAAGTGTTGAATTTTAAACTATAAAAGTAAGCAAAACGAAATTATAGTAAATATAAAACAATGTAACAAAAATAAAATTTGAGAAAAAAGTGAAAACCTAATTTTTACCTTTCTTTTTAGAAGAGTGTATATTTATATGAAAGACTTAATTTTATTACGCAGAAAAGTCGTATCAACGCGCGATATACATTGGAATACGACGCAGTTGACATACGGCAAACACGGAGCAAACATGACAGCAATCGTGTATATATGGTTAACGTCATATTTTATTAATTTTCGAGCCCATTCCTCGTCAAGTAACATGCGCGTATCAAGCGAAAGAGACGATGATTCGAAAGTGCAATGCCATGTCGCGATAAGTCATTTCGAGTTGCATTCATCGGTCGTCATTCGTTTATTGTTATCCAAGGGAGTATGCTTATCTAGCAACAAATTGTCTTGTATTTTTAGCGAATATTTGGTAAATTAGCTGTTTTATCTCTAATGCTCCTAAAAGTCACGCTTAATCTATCAGGAAAAAAATTTTCCTGGTTTTAGTTATAGTTGTGCAATTAAATATATTTATCAGGAAAAAAAATTTTCCTACTTCGAACTCGAAGATATTTTGTATGACTAAGAAAATATATTTTCCTGTTTTTAACTTGTGCAAAAATAATGGTAATACTAAAGGAAAACTCTGTCCTCTCCTCTTCAAAGCTATAATATTGTACTGTATTGTTATAATTAAACATGTAGAAGTATTTAAATTAAATATTTAAATTAAATATAACATATATTATACATTAAATATAGTATAAATATAAATTCAATATCAATTAAACATCGAAAAATTGTATTCTTAAGTATATCCACTTATCTTTATAATATCTTCCTCTAAATATGCGTCAAAAGATTTCTCTTAATTTAAGAGCAAATAGATATTTTCATTAGATATTCGTAACGTGGAAGAATATATACTTAATAGGATGATTTTTTTTCTATCAGTGTATTATTTGAAATTTTTAATTGTGATAACAAAAAACACAGTCTTACAAATAGACATTTGTTATTTATTACATATATATTTAAATATTGCATATATAATTAAATATTTTTTATGTATTAACATAGTTAAATACACATTTTTGGTTATATTATTACTTTTAATATTAATTAATAAAGTTATAAATTTATTATAAATTTAAATTAATTTAAATAGTTTTATTTTATTAATTTATTTTAAGTTTATTATATTAATTAATTAATTTATAATTTGTCATATTTTTTTATTAATTTATTATATTTATTTATTGCGGAAGTTGCAAAAAAGAAAATTAAAGAATATATTCTTAATTTAAAAAGATATATATTCAAAAATGCATCACATAAAAAGGAAAATATTCTTATTAAGAATATTAAGAGGACTTATAAATATACATTTTAAGAAAATCATTTTTTTTGGTGAATAATTAAATAAAAATTAAAAATAAATTAAATTTAACAAAACATGTATTTGACTTAAATAATAAAATCTTCTTAAAGTTTTATTTTATCGGCAATATATCTTTATAATATCATCATATCTTTTTATTGTCTTTATTTGAAACAAAAATACACAGAGAATTTTTCTTAGAATTTATTCTGATATTTATGGTAATCGTGGGACAATAATTTGTGGTATTGAAAGAATTTTGTAAGAGTTTCTCTGATTAATATTTACCACAATAAAACACATTAATATTTGCCATAATAAGATATAAAATAAGTTTGATCAATTAATATATATATTTTAGTAAAAATATAATATAATATGTATAAAATATTTATTAAATAAATATATATATTTTAGTTTTTTATTTATATACCATATATATTTTATTATTAAAATTTTACTATATATAATAAAATTTTAATAATGTTAAAATCTATTATAAAAACTTATGATTCTTTAAGTGTTTTAAATATAATAGACATTCGTAAATGAGCGTCGTTTATGTAATCAACAAAGGTATTAGTGGAGCTAAGTTTCATAAAGTTTCGCGAGGAACTTGATCGCGAATACGAGATGCGCACGCTATAACTCGTGATTAGACGGTTAATTACGCTCGAAGGACGCGTATTATGCTTTGCCGTGCGACGATGCGACATACGACGGCGGTTAAGAAGGAGAGAAGGTGATAATAGCTTGCGAGACAAGGCGAATTCCCTTGAAATTTCCAGCAATTAATTACGTTTCGGCCATTGTCGCGCCGGAGAAATAGATTACACGCTGATGACTGGTGACTCTCTACTAATACAGGTGCATCCTGAAATTTACCTGCGGAACGGCAGACGCTCCGGTAATCGCGTTAACGATTCCCAGGGACATTAATTGTCCTCGGGAGAACAATCGGGACTAGGGGGACCAGGCAGCTGACCAGCCCCGGTTTGACAGCTTTGAAAAAAGAGGCACGAATAACCGCGCAAATTCGAGAGCTCGTTCTATGATCCGTTTAATTGCGAATTCGTGGAACGGAAATGTATCATATACCGCAATGAGGTAGATTTACGCGGGACCGAATGTTTCTTGTGTCGAGTCATTGATACAACTCCCGCGTTAAACGTGAATAATGATGATAAATGAAGGAAATCAAATAAAAGGAATTTTTAGTGGATAAATATTTGATTTAAAATCGACATTTTTTTTAAATAACAAATTTCATAAAATTGTGAAAATCGATGGAGAGATACTTTGCAAGAGAGAAAGAGAAAGAGACATTTTGTGGTATATTAATATAGCATGTCTCATTTTAAATAATGCATTTTTCGAACAGGCTTCTATCGAAAAATATTATATCTTATTGTAATGTACTAATTTTTCGATTATCTTACTTTAATAATTTTTTTCCATAGATTTGCAATTTGTAATATGCAACTGCATACTTAAAAAAATGTTTTTTACATCAATTGATTTATCTCAATATTCTATACATAGAATGTAAGATTATTGAAAAATGTATATGTGAGTATATATTTCGAGATATTTCATATTTTTTGTCAAAATGTGTCGGAATGAAGCATAAAATATCTCGTTCCATTCATTTTACGACTATTCTACTTCAACAATTTTTTACGCCAAATATTACGAGGAATCGATTTATGTAAAAATATTATGGTAGTTTCATTTAAAATAATAATAATAATTTCGAAATCTCAAAAGCCCCCTCATTTAAAATAAGACTATTTTTATGACAAGATGTCCTACAACTTTTGTATAAAATATTTTTCGACGAAAGTCTTGATTTTCAATTACCAATAATGCATTATTTCAAATAAGATATCTTTTTAAAATTAATATAAATATATGATATAAATCAATATAGAAAAGTGATATATTACTCACTATCAAATTGTTAAAACCAGTACACTGTAAATAAAATTTGTTAATTTGACTAAACCCCTTTCAACTAAATATTATTTTGTTGAGTATAAAAATATTTAAATTAAATGTGACATATTAAAACTAACAAAACAATTAACAAAATAGTGATTTAGTTGAAAGGTTTAGTCAAGTTAACAATTTTTTTACAGTGTAGGATTTTGCAGAGCAAAATTTTCTCGCGTGTAAAATTATTCCGCTAATAATTGTAACAATCTAAGGTGAACAACATGTTTTTTTCCAGATGCTGTCTTCAGCATCGACGAATCAAAATTGTAATCAAGCGTCGCGAGAAATATAAACATGCGGAAATCCCGCACATGTTTTATTGTACTTTATATGAGTAACCAAACATCCAAAGTTCTTTTTTTCTTGCTTGCTTGCCGGGAATATTTTTTTTCACGTGTCGGCGGCGATCGACGACAAAAATACGGGACAGGGATAAAGCGTACAACATGCGAACATGGGCAGATGCGATTCGCGATGTTTATGATGCGCGCGTATCACTGACAAGCGTATACACAGGGTGTAATTCGAAAAACATATGGAGCACACCATCAAATTTTCCGGCCAATTTGGAGACGATTTTTCCTCAGTGAAAATGTCGAGACACCAATAATTTTCAAATTATAAATGATTGAAAAAGAAGGACTTCTCGCAAACTTTCCCGGGAAAAAGTTTTTTGTATAACAATATAAAATATAACATTATTATTATTATTATTTTATTATTATTATTTTATTATTATTATTATTATTATTATTATTATTATTATGTTTTTTATATAATACGCTCTTTCAATCCGAAAATAATTGTTACCAGTTACATTTAAATTAATGAAAAATTCGAAGCGCGCGACGAGAAATATATTCCAGCATTTGAGCTTTTATTTGAAGAAATAATGATCCAATAATAAATATTGCAATAAAATAATTTGTGTCTGTAACTTGTCTGTAGCTTGGATTCCTTCTTGAAATATATAAATTGCGCGAAATATTTGCTTTGATAAATAATGCGCTTGCAAATCGTCAATTACTATTAATTAATTTTTATGTTTTACGGAAATATACCGAACGGGAATTTTCAGAGTTGGTATTTTGCGTGATGTATACATTTAAATATAAACTGTGTCTAAAAAAATTGTTTTAGAAGTTGTGTAATTCTTTAAATTAAATATTCGTCCAAGAAAAAAATTAATTGTGTGAAATTATTGATCTTTAAAATATGAAAATATTTTTTTATTTTATTATACATAATGCAATAAAATATTTCAGGCATCGCTTTATATAATTAATTTGGATATTTCTATTCTTACAGATCAACATTATTGAATTTCGTTGGGCATCGTTCCGGTGAGTGTTAAATTATTTTAATTTTTTATCTTTTTTCAATGTAATGGATTATTGATGCAGAAAAAATTAAATCTACAATAATGCAACATATGTTTTCTGCATTATTTATTCTTAATGTTTAAAAACGTATTTCATTTTAAGAAAAAAGTACTAACCAAGATAGTTTTTGAAAAAAATTAATTTAATAAGAGTATTTGAAATTTATTATTTCGAGAACTAGTTTTTGAGATGTAGAAGTTTAGAGTTGGCTGCATTTACAGTCATATTTATTCATGAGTCGGATGTACAGTAGTATTAGTGATTGCACATTTTGAAACTTCTGTTAACCTGGCATCTTTACTACGAGAAAGGTAAAACTCAAATATATGACATAATTAAATTTTAAAATATTGCAAATTTGTTACTCTCTCTCTCTCTTTTTTAATAATCGCAAATATTGTTCGTAAAATAAGTTTCAACAATATTCAAAAATGTTTTAATATTCGGATAACTACAAGAAACTATGTTACTGATATTAATTTCCCTCCTTTGATTTTGATATTAAAATATTTCTCTTTAAATATTTGTTTTCAAGATATATATATATATATACCGAATTTATATTCCCTTTTATTTAACTTCAAGAACATTAAAAAAATAAGAGACTTGCCGTATAATAATAAAATATGAATTCAAGAAATAGATTGCATTTTTAATTATTTTCAAAGAAAATTTGTTCAACTAAATTATTTTTAAAATATATCATTCTTATTATTCCCAATCAAAAACTTATTTTGTGATCATGAAATTTGGTGATTTGTATATTAATATATTTTTAAATTATATTTTTGAATTAATATATTTTATATTAATATATTTTTAAATTATATTTTTGAATTAATATATTTTATATTAATATATTTTTAAATTAATATTAGAAATGTACAGAAATGCTAGCAAGATCGTAGATTAAAGCGAACTTTTGCGAAATCTTAATTTTGAGCTGGAAAGAGAGAAAATCGTCTATTAGAGTGAATTGTTCTTACAACTTTTGTTGCTCTCATTTATCGTACTAAATTGTGGAATAAACGCGCTTTAGAAATTCCTTTTAACCTTAAGCGCGAGAATGTAATTGCAATCATTATCACAATAGTTTATAGTAAATTAAACTCCAAGCGAATTAAATTCCCGTTGAAAGAGTGATTATAAGTTTTCGGTTCCCGAATAAGTTACGTTTCCCATGCACTATTAACGAACGAATTTAAATTTTCAACGTGCTTTACATATATTACCACAAAGAGAGAGGAAGAGCTCGGCGCGGCGGTTTGTGCCTAAAATTGTGCACACGTCGAACGTTAGATTCCAAATTCAACAGAACACGCCCCATAATTGCGAATTATAATTACGCGGATCACTTCGGGCGCAATCGCGCCCTTTTGTGCAGGGCTTGGGAAAAGCACGAGTGGAGGATGTAATTATTTGCTGTTGCGCCGATGTATTTGCTAATTATACGCGCATTGCGCTCTTATCATTCGTCACGTGATTAAATTACACTAGTTTAGAAAAAAAATGTTTTTCATTATTTAATATTATTTAAAAAATATTTTTTCATTATTTATCTCAAATTAGACAAAGCGTTTCGTATGGATTTTTGATGGCTGAAAACGATGATGTAAGTCAATTTTTGACTAGCAAGTTTTCGAAATAATTGAGATTTAATATGTAAAAAATTGCTTTTCTGCGATATTTCAGGTTTTTCTATAAAAAATATTAATATTATTTCTAAAATTCTAATCAGGTGTCATAAATATATTAAAATGCATTTTTTCTACTTTTTTACTTCGACAAAAAGTAAGGTGTCGAAATAAAAAAAAATGCATTTTATAGGAAACGAACAATATATTGCCTGTATGAAGTTAGCCCCCCATTTTTCGAATTTTAAAATTTTAAAGGTTGTTCCAGGTTGTTCTAGACTTGTTCTAAATTGTTCCAAAAGATCAAATTTAAAAAATAAAAATTTTCGCGAAAAATGGAAAAAAACGATTTTTTGACCTGGCCCCCCATTTTTCGAAAATCGAACTTTTAAAGGTTGTTCCAGATTGTTCTAGTTGTTCTAAACATTGTTCCAGAGTGATAATTCCCTAAACAAAATATTTCACGAGATACAATAAAAAAATAGTTTCGTGCGCTAAAACAGTATTTTTACGTTTTCGGCTATAGTTATTATCTCTTAAACACCAAACTGTATATTTTAGCTAAAAACGAACAGAACAACCTGGAACAACTCTCAATTTTGCTAGAACATAATTTTAAAGAGTACTTTACTCTTGGAAATAAACATTTTTGTTGTTTTTTTGTGTTTTTCGACCGATAACGACGTGACAGCGATCCCAAACTATAGAACAATTACGTACTGGCATAGAACAACTTGGAACAACTCTCAGTTTTGCTAGAACATTATTTTAAAGGGTACTTTACTCTTGGAAATAAACACATTTTTTTTGTTTTTTCATCTTTTTTGCCCGCTAAAGTCGCGATAGCGGTCCCAAACTATAGAACAATTACGTACTGGCATAGAACAACTTGGAACAACTCTCAGTTTTGCTGGAACATTATTTTAAAGAGTACTTTACTCTTGGAAATAAACACATTTTTTTTGTTTTTTCATCTTTTTTGCTCGCTAAAGTCGCGATAGCGGTCCCAAACTATAGAACAATTACGTACTGGCATAGAACAACTTGGAACAACTCTCAATTTTGCTAGAACATAATTTTAAAGAGTACTTTACTCTTGGAAATAAACACATTTTTCTTGTTTTTTTGTGTTTTTCGACCGATAACGTCGCGACAGCGGTCCCAAACTATAGAACAATTACGTACTGGCATAGAACAACTTGGAACAACTCTCAGTTTTGCTGGAACATTATTTTAAAGAGTACTTTACTCTTGGAAATAAACACATTTTTTTTGTTTTTTCATCTTTTTTGCCCGCTAAAGTCGCGATAGCGGTCCCAAACTATAGAACAATTACGTACTGGCATAGAACAACTTGGAACAACTCTCAATTTTGCTAGAACATAATTTTAAAGAGTACTTTACTCTTGGAAATAAACACATTTTTCTTGTTTTTTTGTGTTTTTCGACCGATAACGTCGCGACAGCGGTCCCAAACTATAGAACAATTACGTACTGGCATAGAACAACTTGGAACAACTCTCAGTTTTGCTGGAACATTATTTTAAAGAGTACTTTACTCTTGGAAATAAACACATTTTTTTTTGTTTTTTCATCTTTTTTGCCCGCTAAAGTCGCGATAGCGGTCCCAAACTATAGAACAATTACGTACTGGCATAGAACAACTTGGAACAACTCTCAGTTTTGCTGGAACATTATTTTAAAGAGTACTTTACTCTTGGAAATAAACACATTTTTCTTGTTTTTTTGTGTTTTTCGACCGATAACGTCGCGACAGCGGTCCCAAACTATAGAACAATTACGTACTGGCATAGAACAACTTGGAACAACTCTCAGTTTTGCTGGAACATTATTTTAAAGAGTACTTTACTCTTGGAAATAAACACATTTTTTTTGTTTTTTCATCTTTTTTGCCCGCTAAAGTCGCGATAGCGGTCCCAAACTATAGAACAATTACGTACTGGCATAGAACAACTTGGAACAACTCTCAGTTTTGCTGGAACATTATTTTAAAGAGTACTTTACTCTTGGAAATAAACACATTTTTCTTGTTTTTTTGTGTTTTTCGACCGATAACGACGTGACAGCGGTCCCAAACTATAGAACAATTACGTACTGGCATAGAACAACTTGGAACAACTCTCAGTTTTGCTGGAACATTATTTTAAAGAGTACTTTACTCTTGGAAATAAACACATTTTTTTTGTTTTTTCATCTTTTTTGCCCGCTAAAGTCGCGATAGCGGTCCCAAACTATAGAACAATTACGTACTGGCATAGAACAACTTGGAACAACTCTCAATTTTGCTAGAACATAATTTTAAAGAGTACTTTACTCTTGGAAATAAACACATTTTTCTTGTTTTTTTGTGTTTTTCGACCGATAATGTCGCGACAGCGGTCCCAAACTATAGAACAATTACGTACTGGCATAGAACAACTTGGAACAACTCTCAGTTTTGCTGGAACATTATTTTAAAGAGTACTTTACTCTTGGAAATAAACACATTTTTTTTGTTTTTTCATCTTTTTTGCCCGCTAAAGTCGCGATAGCGGTCCCAAACTATAGAACAATTACGTACTGGCATAGAACAACTTGGAACAACTCTCAGTTTTGCTGGAACATTATTTTAAAGAGTACTTTACTCTTGGAAATAAACATGTTCTAGTAAAATTGAGAGTTGTTCCAAGTTGTTCTATGCCAGTACGTAATTGTTCTATAGTTTGGGACCGCTATCGCGACTTTAGCGGGCAAAAAAGATGAAAAAACAAAAAAAATGTGTTTATTTCCAAGAGTAAAGTACCCTTTAAAATAATGTTCTAGCAAAACTGAGAGTTGTTCCAAGTTGTTCTATGCCAGTACGTAATTGTTCTATAGTTTGGGATCGCTGTCACGTCGTTATCGGTCGAAAAACACAAAAAAACAAGAAAAATGTGTTTATTTCCAAGAGTAAAGTACTCTTTAAAATTATGTTCTAGCAAAATTGAGAGTTGTTCCAGGTTGTTCTGTTCGTTTTTAGCTAAAATATACAGTTTGGTGTTTAAGAGATAATAACTATAGCCGAAAACGTAAAAATACTGTTTTAGCGCACGAAACTATTTTTTTATTATATCTCGTGAAATATTTTGTTTAGGGAATTATCACTCTGGAACAATGTTTAGAACAACTAGAACAATCTGGAACAACCTTTAAAAGTTCGATTTTCGAAAAATGGGGGGCCAGGTCAAAAAATCGTTTTTTTCCATTTTTCGCGAAAATTTTTATTTTTTAAATTTGATCTTTTGGAACAATTTAGAACAAGTCTAGAACAACCTGGAACAACCTTTA